TACCAATTGAGCTAACAAGCCAACTGGGAGCAGGCCGTTAAGTTGATTCGTAATAAACCCGTGAAAGTGATAAATCAGATACAATGAAATATATGAAGTTCATATATTTTGAACTGCGGTATTAGATACGTATGATGCACGATCCTCGCAGTAGATAGCGCCATTTAAGCAATAGCGAAAATCAGACCTGAAAAAAGTCAGGCCTGTACGGGATTCCAACCACTGACCTCTGCGATACTAGTGCAGCGCTCTTACCAATTGAGCTAACAAGCCAACTGGGAGCAGGCCGTTAAGTTGATTCGTAATAAACCCGTGAAAGTGATAAATCAGATACAATGAAATATATGAAGTTCATATATTTTGAACTGCGGTATTAGATACGTATGATGCACGATCCTCGCAGTAGATAGCGCTATTTAAGCAATAGCGAAAATCAGACCTGAAAAAAATCAGGCCTGTACGGGATTCGAACCACTGACCTCTGCGATACTAGTGCAGCGCTCTACCAATTGAGCTAACAAGCCAACTGGGAGCAGGCCGTTAAGTTGATTCGTAATAAACCCGTGAAAGTGATAAATCAGATACAATGAAATATATGAAGTTCATATATTTTGAACTGCGGTATTAGATACGTATGATGCACGATCCTCGCAGTAGATAGCGCTATTTAAGCAATAGCGAAAATCAGACCTGAAAAAAATCAGGCCTGTACGGGATTCGAACCACTGACCTCTGCGATACTAGTGCAGCGCTCTTACCAATTGAGCTAACAAGCCAACTGGGAGCAGGCCGTTAAGTTGATTCGTAATAAACCCGTGAAAGTGATAAATCAGATACAATGAAATATATGAAGTTCATATATTTTGAACTGCGGTATTAGATACGTATGATGCACGATCCTCGCAGTAGATAGCGCTATTTAAGCAATAGCGAAAATCAGACCTGAAAAAAATCAGGCCTGTACGGGATTCGAACCACTGACCTCTGCGATACTAGTGCAGCGCTCTACCAATTGAGCTAACAAGCCAACTGGGAGCAGGCCGTTAAGTTGATTCGTAATAAACCCGTGAAAGTGATAAATCAGATACAATGAAATATATGAAGTTCATATATTTTGAACTGCGGTATTAGATACGTATGATGCACGATCCTCGCAGTAGATAGCGCTATTTAAGCAATAGCGAAAATCAGACCTGAAAAAAATCAGGCCTGTACGGGATTCGAACCACTGACCTCTGCGATACTAGTGCAGCGCTCTTACCAATTGAGCTAACAAGCCAACTGGGAGCAGGCCGTTAAGTTGATTCGTAATAAACCCGTGAAAGTGATAAATCAGTACAATGAAATATATGAACTTCATAATTTCATTGTACTAATTTTACTTCCGGTAGCCGTAGCAGCGCCAGCCGTAGTGATTTGCTTAAACTCACTTATAGCACTCAAGGGAATGCTACTTCCAGTCACCTTGGTCTTGTAAAATGTCAACCTTGTTTCCATGGTGATGCTCAATACTTTCAACGTCCAGTACTTCGTGTAAGATCACTTGGCGAACGAGAGGTCATTTGTCGAATTATCGCGGCTATAATGGGGTAAATTTGCGTTCAACATGGTAGAAATGACTCAAGTTTTAATGGAAAGAAAAGCAGACTATAGTCAGGTATGCCGTTAGAATTGAATGTGTCAGTTGGCACTTCATATGTAGCTTAATTTCCTGTGACAATCCATGAGGGGCAACCATGGTATGCGTTGGTCTTGTTTCAATCGCACTGACCGTACTGAGTTAGCGTTATTGTAACTCGAAATCCGGTGAAAAAAACTACTTCTGTTGCTTATCATGTTTTTTTTTTATGTTATTTTCTGTAAAATTTAATTTATTACTCTCCCGGGAAACCCATAAAGTGATCGCCAATTTCGATGTGTTTGTGCGGCTTTCAAAAATTATTCGTCTTTGGGAATTCGGATCGTCGTAGCCGGGAAGATAGTTGAAGATTTGGTAAATTCATGTTGTATTTTATTTCTGTCCAGTTATCGTAGAAAACTTATGGTAGAAAATTCCTGATAGATGTCCACCTTACCCAAGGAAATGAATGATGGACGCTAAATTAATCGCGAAAATTCTAGTGTCATGTCGCTTTCCCAGATGAATCTGCGATTAATCCTTGTTTGCTATTGTGGACGATTTTTAACTTGTAAAATAATAAGACCGCGGGATCTAAAACGTTTTTTGATTAACTGAAGGTTATTCTTTTTATGTGAAAGATTTTGTCGCATTGAATTCCGCCTCATTTTACTGTTAATAAAACTAAAAGGTTTCTAATATTTTTTGTTGATATTACAAACATTGCCCTTGATTTGAGCGTAAGGTCTTCGTGTCACACCACAATGACTAGCGTATTCAACTATTTGATTTGGCGAACATCCATAACACCAGTCTTAAAAGACAATTGAAACAAGTCTATATATCAAAAGTTAAAAGTTTGAGTCATAATAAAAGCAACGAAATCCTCTTCTTAATCCTTCACTGAAGTTGCTTAGGACGAGCCAATGGGTTTGTCATGCTAATTTTCGCCACACTGTTCTTGCCGCAAATTCATCTTTTGAATTGAAGTGCTATGTAATAAAACCCTCATAATTTATCCTCTGAAGCCCGCACAGTTGAATTTATGGAGTTGTTTTCCCTTATAGCGATTTGTGAGCGTTGTCTCGTTATTATTTGAAATTTTACAAATTTCTAATTGCTTTGAACGCCTTTATCAAGGGTGAAACTTCATTTGCATGCGAGAATGACCTGACAGCGATAAGTCGAAGATGACAGCACTGCGAGACAGATGGTAAACAAAAGATTTTCCACACAGGTGTCTTGGAAAACAATTCTTCAAGAGAGGGTTGTTTTGTTTAAAAACTGCAAGAACTCTACTCATTTCTATTTTTGCTTTTGCAAAATTTATTACTGTATAATTTCTTCAGAGGATTGCATACAGATTTTGACTTGAGATTTCCAGAATTTCTGTTTACGCCTCGAAATAAACTAAAAAGCATTGATCAATGAATAAATTATTCCTGTAAGGTACAAAGTGTTCTCACAACTTTATGCTGTACTCGTCTTTCTTTGTTAGTCTTTTTTTTTTTAATTTTTCTTATTTGCAATTTTATCCCAACTAAACAAATACATTTACTAAAACAATAGTTATAACATAACCAAAGTAAAGCGCACGATCTGATTGGTCAATTCAGCGTCCTCCATTTGCCCATGGGTGTACGCTGCTGACGTGAGCAAATGCAAAGACT